AGTTTGAACAGATCTTCTGGGGCCCCTGACACTTATTGTAAATGGTACACTTAACGTGCCAAAGTGACCCCCTGCATTTTCATTGGGGGGATGTTGCATCATCTGCCAAGTCTTTTGCTTTCGTTGTGAGTATCAGGTGCTGTTTATTCATCTCTGTGTCAGTCATCATTTTTTTAGGTTTTCACTAAAAGAGTAAATACTGGAGGTACTCTGTAGACTGCTCCAACTGTTAAAGGTATTTCAAGGTTTTTGGATTTAAATTTAGCAAATGTATTTATTTATTTATTTATTTATTTATAATTTGAGCACACTTACAGAGGTACAAAAAAAAAAAAAATACAGATAAGAGCAGCATGCCAAAGCCACTTATACTATGCATAGCATTACGGGCTGGCTTAAAATTAACTTAAGATTAACTAAGCAATGATGAAATCAGTGAAAAACATTAATGTAAACTGATTACTATAAAGCACAAGTGAGTATTACAAAGACAGGTCATATGGTTGCATGCATTGTTGTAAATTCAGTAGAAATGGAGTATTCTGGTTAGGTAGTGAAATTAAAAAATAATAAAGTTAATTGGTTTTAGGTTAACATTTATGTGATATAATTGAGAAAACATTTAAGATATACAATTTTATAAGTTCAAGTTATTCAGTATTTATTTGGTTTTTGGTGAGTAAGTGATCTTTGAGAAGAGACCTTGAATTTAAAACATAGTGTTTCTTTTATAATAACAGTAAGTGAATTCCAGATTTTAGGGCCTTTTATGTGCATGTGAGTTTTTGCATAGCGTGAATGACACGAAGGAATAACAAAGAGTGATCGTGCCTTGTGTTATGGTCATGTGTCTAGGTTGAGGTTGGCAGGAGATGTTTGTGGGGAGGGTTAATATCAAGTTGAAGTGTTTCTATGTATGTAATAGGTCAGTAAATAAGTATGGATGTTTTTGTATGGTGAGTAGGTTGAGTGTAATTGGAATATTAAGGTGGAGTGTGCTGCCTGTATGAGAATTTGTTATCATTCTAACTGCGCCTTTTGTTAGGTAATTAGTGGTCTGAGATGGTTACTTGTTGTTGAGCCCCATGCACACAAATTCCATAGGTGAGATAGGGGTAAATAAAGAGGTGATATAGGCCAGGAGGGCTGACTGTGGAGCATAGTCCCGTATCTTCGATATATCCCTACAGTCTTGGAAATTTTCTTAGAAATTTGTTGAATAAGTGTAATGAAATTCTGAGTCTATTATCAAGTGTGTATTCCTAAGAATTTTCCCTCTGTTAGCTTTGTGATAGTGATGCCGTTATGCATTTATGTTAAGAGGGACATCTGTAGCTTCTCTGTTACCAAACTGAATGAAGTAGAGTTTTGCAATGTTTAGTGTAAGGTTTTGTTTAGTACTCACCAGGTAATATTTTTTCTGTAATTCGGTAATTTACAGTATTGGCTAGCTTTGACTGGGCTCGGGTGGAGAAGAGACGTATGTTGTGTCATCAGCAAATAGTGTGGGTTTAGTAATTTGAGAAGCATTTTTGGTAGGTTCTATTATGTTAGGAGAAAGAGAAAGGGCCAAGACACTTCCTGTGGGACACCAACTGTAATTGGTTGTGTGCAGAAGATTTTTCCACCATTTGGCGTAACATATTGGCTTTGTTGCTGAGGTAATGACTTGAGTAGTGAGGAGTGCCCCCTTATAACCATAGTGTGAAATTTAAAGACGTGGAGCAAGTCATGGTCAACTGTATCAAAAGCTTTACGAAAGTCAATGAAGACATCCCCAGTAGGGAACTTCTTAATTTTTTCTCCTATTGCAGTGTATATATGTTCCGATCATTTGCTATAATAGCATCTTTATGTATTTTAATTAGGCCTAATCCAATTGGCAGGGGTTGAGTATTTATGGGAGATAAGGTAGGAGTAGATTCGTAATGAATTAATTTTTTCTCGAAGATTTTTGAGAGAGGGTGTAAGTTGGATATTGGCCCTATAAGTTATTCACCTCTGTTTTGGTCTCCTCCTGTTGTGAACGGGTGACCCTGCTAATTTGAGTACTGTAGGGAAGGTGGAGGATTCAATGGATTTTGTTAAAGAGGGTTGCAGATGATTGGTGATAGCAACTTAGTGACACTTTTTTTGTATATAAAGGTGGTAAGGTATTTAAATCTCCTGTCTTGTTTTTATAGTGCGTTTATAATAAGTGGAGACTTCGTAGGGTTAGTCGACTAGGAACATTGTTTTCGGGTAGTTGCCGGTGGAGGTATGTCATTTGGTGGGTATCTGAGCTTGGGATTTTATTGGCAAGGTTTTTGTCCTATAGTGGAAGAAGAAATCATTGAGTCTGTTTTGCTGTTTCTGTTGGTGGGAGTTGGGGCTTAATCTTGATTAATGCTAGTGGTTATTTCGCTATTTCGTGATATCTTTTTTGTTCCCAGAATTCTGATAGGTTTTTCCAGGACTTTTTTATATCACCCACCTCGTAAGTTGGATAATCTTTTCTCATAATACACATTTTTTTGCCCTTTCTTAATCAGGCTGGTTAGGATTGAACGAGTAACGTTTTGTTTGGTCTCTGGTTATGTGACCCATACTGTACTGTTTTTCATATGTGTGTTTTGTATTATGAGATTTGAGAATGCTGGGTGTTAGCCAGGACAGTTCATCTCTTAGGCTGTCATCTGCTTAGTTTTTTTAGGGCAGATGCTTGTTATAGAGGTATTGATCTTTTTAGAAAATTATTAATTACATCGTCAATACTGTATTGAATTCAAGCTCAGTGTGCCAATCAATGTTTGCTAATGCTGTGTGAAGTTATTAATGGCTGCCCTCATTGTGAAGTCTGAAGTTGACTTTATAGTGTCTTGGGGTAATTTACCAAGAGTTGTAAAGAGGAAAGTAGGGCTATGTCTAGTGGTATAATCTGTAATTATGCCTGATTTTAAAGGGATAAGACTAAGGTGAAACACTAGTCCTCTGTAACTCTTGTAGGTTTTGTTATGCTGTTGGTAGCAACAAACAGTTACTCAATGTGTTTGTAATTCAGTAAAACGTGTGGTTCCCTGGTCTGCAGTAGATTTATATTGAAGTCACCTGAGGTAGTAAGGTGATCTTTGTTCATGCGTGCACAGTTTATTCATACTTCCTAGGTTTTGAACTAAATTGGCTAAAGTTTGCTTGAAACTCTGCTGTAGATGTTTATCAATGTGAGAGGTTTTTGTAGGTTATTTGGATTTGAATTTGGCTATTAAATATTCCCCCCATGTTCATCTCTTGTCTGCAAGTATTAGTGATACATTCTAGTTTTGGTCTGAGTAGTATATGCTGTGCCACCCCCCCTTGATGGTCTGGCCTGACAGTTGTGTATGGCTGTGGTAACCAGGAATGGTATAGACATCTGTATTAGCAGCTTTAGCCAGTATCAGATAGTGTAATTGATGGACATATTGGCATGTAAGGCATTTTAGTAATCTATGAGTCATCGTAATGCTTGCTTAAAAGGATCTATATTGTATGTTAAAGATAGTTATGTGTTGTTGGCACTGAGAAGTGCCTTGATTTGATTTCTTGCAGTGTAGTAATTACAGTAACTGATTGATTCATTTAAGCATGTAAAATAATAGTTTGGTATCTGGATCAATGCTTGTAATCATAAGATTTGTAGTGAATCTATAGTTAGAATTAAGTATAAAACAAAGTAAATAGTCTTAAGCTAAAAAATAGCACCTGAATTATATATTCACCATATTCATCACTAGTACAAGCAGATTTAATACATTCAAGTTCATTGTAGTATATAGCTGTGCCACCTCCTAATTGATCTGGTCTATAATTGTGTATGGCCGTATAGCCCAGTATTGCACAGATGTTTGTAACATCATGTTTTGGCCAGGTTTCAGTGAGGGTAATGATTGACATACAGTGGACCCCCGCTTAACGATCACCTCCAAATGCGACCAATTATGTAAGTGTATTTATGTAAGTGCGTTTGTACGTGTATGTTTGGGGGTCTGAAATGGACTAATCTACTTCACAATATTCCTTATGGGAAAAAATTCGGTCAGTACTGGCACCTGAACATACTACTGGAATGAAAAAAGTTCGGTAACCGGGGGTCCACTGTACTGACATTGAGAGAATTGAGTAGTGCTAGGAAGTCTTAGGCCCAATGGAGACTTATTTATACAAATAATATAAAAAAGAAACACCAAAAAATGCAAACACAAAATAGTTTACAGCAAAGTTCTGGTATGTCTAGTTTGTTTGGTCGAGTGCCAAGCAAACAGTCGACTATCGAGCGATTTTTTTTTTTACTGAACAAAGTGCAGACACACTGGGCATATTTATTTTATTTTAATAGGAGGAAGCACTAAACTAGGGTCATACAGTGCTGGGGAAAAGGGAGGCAACCAGATTCAATCTGAGAAAAGGGAAGGTAATGGCAGTTTCTTGTATCAAAGGCTCCTCACTGACATCAAGGCACCTACTGTCAAGTGACACCAAACACCAGGCTGGGGCGTTGCCCTGAACTTCTCCATTTTAAACTCCAGGTAAACACATCCAGCTATTCTACAAAAATACAATTAGCAAAAGCTTCTATGAATATTGCTACTTTAATGACACGAAGAAAAGCTATCTTGAATGAATATTGCTAATTAAAAAACACCAAGAGAATAAATGCTTACTTGGTTGAATATTAATATATGCTAATTTAAATCTGTGTAAGTGAATATTTATATTGAAAAAACAGGTTCCAATAATATTTCAAGAAATTTTTCATCAGGTTGCTATAATATTAAAATTTTTTCTGAACATACTGTCTTGGCAAGAATTTCCCCCCTATGGCATTGGTTTGTTTCGTAAACTTGATATTGTGAGAACTTTAGAAATTAAACCTGATATTTTTCCCAACTATATGAAGTTTATTTATTACTAAATTAAATTGTCTGGAAACTCTTTAGACATCGAAACATCTATGGTTTCTCTCCAGTATATTTCTCTGTATACTAACTAGATTTTCTAGAAAAATTTTTAAGACACTCTGAACACTGATATGGTTTTTCTCCTGTATGAATTCTCATGTGTTTTACTAAACTTGATTTTCTAGCTAAATTTTTTAGACACTCTGAACATTGATATGGTTTCTCTCCAGTATGAATTCTCATGTGTTCTACTAAATGAGATTTCATGGAAAACTCTTTTAGACACTCTGAACATTGATGTGGTTTCTCTCCTGTGTGAATTCTCATGTGTTCTATTATATAAGATTTCATGGAAAACTCTTTTAAACACTCTGAACATTGATAAGGTTTCTCTCCAGTATGAATTCTCATGTGTTTTACTAAACTAGATTTACTGGTAAACTCTTTTAGACACTCTGAACATGGATATGGTTTCTCTCCAGAATGAACTCTCATGTGTTGTGCTAAATTAGATTTTTGTGAAAACTCTTTAAGACACTTTGAACATTGATATGGTTTCTCTCCAGTATGAATTCTCATGTGTTCTACTAAATGAGATTTCATGGAAAACTCTTTTAGACACTCTGAACATTGATGTGGTTTCTCTCTGATATGAATTCTCATGTGTTTTACTAAACTAGATTTTTCTGAAAACTGTTCTAGACACTCTGAACACCGATGTGGTTTCACTCCAGAATGAATTCTCAAGTGTTTTACTAAACTAGATTTACTGGTAAACTCTTTTAGACACTCTGAACACTGATACTGTTTCTCTCTGGTATGAATTTTTATGTGTGTTATTAAAAATTTTTTTTCAGAAAATTCTTTCAAACACAATAAACATTGAACTGTTTTTTTGCCTTCATTAACTGTTATCAAAGATACACACTGAGATTTTTGTGAGGAATGTGAATATTGATATAGTTTGTCTTCTGCATCAACTGTAATGTGTGTTGGTTGAACACATTCTTTTTCAAGTAGTTTAGACATAATGAGCAATAACTTAACACTTTCACTATCAGGACCCCCAAAATTAAAAGTGCTGACAGCATCAGGATCTTTCCATGAAAAAAAAAAAATCCTTTAGAATGATAGTTTTTTTTTCTTAAGGTAATGACAAAAACATGAAATATGATGCTGAATTATGGAATTTCAGAGGCTCAAGTTGGCAATCTGAACATAATTTATGCATCGGCAATTTTACCCACTTTGTGTCCAATATTAGGCCAATTCCATTGCTCATTTTGAACAAATTCTTAGCTTTTTAGCTCCAGCAAATGTGCACAATGGTTAGTAATTAATTTTACAGAAAAAACAACAAATTCCAATTTGAAAACAAAAAATAAACACAGTATGCATTACAGCAACTAAAGTAACCTATCTTCTGTTCATTATTCATATCCTCACGCCTCTAGTATATTACACCTTCACTCTACTTTGAATCAATCACCACAAACAAAATCAAAGTTTTACCCCATTTTTTATAACAAAAAATAACCAGGATTGTCATGGTTTACGTCATCCCAATAACCAAAGCAGAATTAGTAAAAAAATACACAAAAAAAAGATGAGGGGGAAATGGGGGACTTTCCCTTCCTCAAGAAAATTGTCAAAATTTTAATATTTCAAGATACTTCCAGTCCTGAAATTGACCAAATTATCCATGTCAGCAGTATGACTAGTGGTGGCTCGTCCATAGGAGCTGCAGAGCTGCAGTCTCCCCAGATGCTCACTGCCAGATGTATGACTCCATCAACCTTACACAAAAAAAATTGGCAACTGACAAATATATTGCAGGAAAAAATCTGTTGTGTGTTATTTTCAATATATTTATGAGCGATTTTTTATTTTTTTGTTGAAATGAGATAAAAATGATTAAAAACAGAAGTCTGATGCAGTACAATAGTATAGTTATTACAGGCGCTACAAGCCACCACCGAGTATGATGTCTATTTTATCAACTGATACAAAGAAACAGCCATAAAAAAAGCATCCTAGAAAACACATCACAGTCACTATTTTAAACCAAACACAAAGTCAAAGGTTTTCATTTCTCATGCACTGCATGGGGTAGGATTTATTTTATGGTGCACACACTCACTGCACAGACCCACTCTTATATGACTAGAACAAAATTTACTACTAACAACATATGTGAGGATGCTGTGCTTAAAACATAGCACTACATGAGTGACATTGTTGTCAGTAACAAAGATCTACACAGGTTACATGGGGGTCAATAACATAGATCTACACAGGTTACATGGGGGTCAATAACATAGATCTACACAGGTTATATGGGGGTCAATCACATAGATCTACACAGGCTACATGGGGGTCAATAACATAGATCTACACAGGTTACATAGGGGTCAATAACATAGATCTACACAAGTTACATGGGGGTCAATAATGTAGATCTATGTAATATGCAGTAAAACAGTTACTAATCTTATAAATTAATTATAAAGTGCTTAACCAGATGCACTTCAATATACTAAAAAGAATGTTTCTCTAATACACTATTATTATAAACATGGTCAAGCACTAAACCAGTAAGGTTTAAATACTGCTTGAAGAATGGGGAAGATGTTTGCAATAATTGGAGGATATCTCCAACTCCTTGGATCAGACAAGCAGTTCACAAGCCAATAACTACTTACCTTGTAGGCTTCTCTAGCACTGTTCATGAATTTCAATGTTTCTTGCTAAAATTTTCACAACAGTTTAGTAACAAAAAATATGAAAATTTTCATAATAAAATCAAGAGATAATGTTGAGCAGAACAAAATGATGAGTGTCAAAACATTAGGATGTTAAGTTGATGTTTAACAGTTGTATGCTAAGGTAACATTTAATATTTATGTTTTCAGTGTAAATGTTATATTTCTAACACTGTTATATTACTAACACTGTAGTAATACAGTGTTGTCACTATATATTTCTAACACTGTACAAAAATAGTGTTGTCACTATATATTTCAGTATTTGACAATAACAGGAGCCTTATCATGACAAAAATTGACACTAAAACTGTAACTCCTCTGCTACCAGGATGACGAGAAGTATTGGTACTACAAGTACCAACCTCTGCTACTAGGATGACCAGAAGTATTGGTACTACAAGTTCCAACCTCTGCTACCAGGATGACGAGAAGTATTGGTACTACAAGTTCCAACCTCTGCTACCAGGATGACGAGAAGTATTGGTACTACAAGTACCAACCTCTGCTACTAGGATGACCAGAAGTATTGGTACTACAAGTTCCAACCTCTGCTACCAGGATGACCAGAAGTAGTGGTACTACAAGTACCAACCTCTGCTACCAGGATGACCAGAAGTAATGGCACTACAAGTACCAACCTCAGCTATCATGATGACCAGAAGTATTGGCACTGCAAGTACCAACCTCTGCTACCAGGATGACCAGAAGCAGTGGTACTACAAGTACCAACCTCTGCTACCAGGATGACCAGAAGTAGTGGTACTACAAGTACCAACTTCTGCTATCAGGTTGACCTGAAAAAAAATTAATCTTTTGTTAAACTTTTACTTCAAGAATATTATAAAGTTTTATGTTCACTATAAATCTCTTATATAATTCCTATGATAATATTACCATAATATTTGTGGTATTATTATTGTAATACTTGTGGTATTATGGTAGACTATGTGTATGGCAGTGTTTATTATTGAAAGAATTAGGAGTAAGATGGACAGCAGGATTGCAGATGAACAATGAGGCTTAAGGAACGGTACGGGGTGTGTAGACCAAGTTTTTACAGTGAAACATAAGGGTAAAGAGTTTTTTGTTGCATTTATGGATTTGGAAAAGGAATATGATGGGGTAGATAGGGATCCAATGTGGCAGATGTTGAAAATTTAAGGAAGTTAAGGCAGGTTATTGAAAACACTAAAGAGTTTTTACGAGTATAGTGAGGCTCAGGTTAGAGGAGCGTTTGTCAACCTTTTTGCTCTTGCGGAACCCTTGAAATAATTTTCGTGTCTCAGGGAACCCCTACATAAAAATTATTATATATCATTATTAATATATTTCTCTTTCATAAACTTAAAATTCATAAGTAAAATATAATATTTTTTCTGATAACTGATTTAACTGACAATGCAACTGATAACTGATTTACGGACAATGCAAAGAAAAAAATATAGTAGGGCCCCGCTTTACTGCGTTTCACCTTATGGCGTTCCACTAATACGGCGATGTCAAATTATGACCAAAATTTGCTATACGGCAAGCGGTCTTTCCAATACGGTGTGCCCCACCCAGTTTTTTATATTCTCCATGACCACATCTATTATGTCAGGAAACTTTCCAAAATTTCAAGTGTTTTAAAGTTACTGCATATTTTATATGCACTCTGATAATTATACTTATGTGTACCTGTACCTAAATATACTTACACACTGTGCTGGTGTGCAGGTGCACATTAAAATCACTAAGAGTCTCTCTACTCATGATGCCAATACTATGTAATAATAATCACTCTTGGGCACACTAAATGTCTTATTTTACATTAATATAGGCATTTTCATTAATCCATCTATGATATTTTCCTCAAAATTATATACGAAACCCGTTACATAGCATATAAACATGATACATACATTCACAGAATAAAAATTGACGTAAATACAGTGGACCCCGGTTTGCGATATTAATCCGTTCCTGAGAGCTCATCATAAACCAAAATTATCGGAAAGCGAATCAATTTTCCCCATAGGAAATAATGGAAATCAAATTAATCCGTGCAAGACACTCAAAAGTACGAAAAAAAAAAACTTTTACCACATGAAATATTAAGTTTAATGCACACAAACTGAAGAAGACATGCACAGTTTGCAGTATGTACTCTACTAACAATAGAATACATGACACTTACTTTTAATGAAGATCTGGTGATGACTGATGGGATGGGAGGAGGGGAGTGTGTCGAACCTATTGTTTAGAAGGGGAATCCCCTTCCAGTAGGACTTGAGGTAGCAAGTCCTTTTCCGGGGTTACTTCCCTTCTTCTTTTAATGCCACTAGGACCAGCTTGAGAGTCACTGGACTTCTGTTGCACAACATATCTGTCCATAGAGACCTGTATCTCTCGTTCCTGTATGACTTTCCTAAAGTGCTTCACAACAGTGTCATTGTACAGGTTGCCAACACGGCTTACAGTAGCTGTGTGAGGGTGATTTTCATCAAAAAAGCTTTGCACTTCAAGCCACTTTGTACACATTTCCTTAATCTTTGAAGTAGGCAACTTCTTCAATTTCTCAATTACCTCCTCTGAAGCAGTTTCCTCAGGTCTGGCCTCTTGCTGTTGAAGATGATCTAGCAGCTCATCAGTGGTTAGTTCGTCATTGTCCTCCTCCACCAACTCTTCCACATCCTCCCCACTAACCTCCAACCCCAATGCCACAATGGATTCCTCAACTGGAATAGGATTCCCAGGGTTAGCCTCAAACCCTTCGAAATCCCTTTTGTCTACACATTCTGGTCACAGTTTTTTCCAGGCAGAGTTCAAGGTCCTCGTAGTCACTCTCTCCCAAGCCTTACCTATAAGGTTTACACAATTGAGGATATTAAAGTGATCCTTCCAAAACTCCTTTAGTCAATAGAGTGTCTGTGGTCACTTCAAAGCACCTTTCAAACACAGCTTTTGTGTACAGTTTCTTGAAGTTGGAAATGACCTGCTGGTCCATGGGCTGCAGGAAAGGAGTGGTATTAGGGGGCAAAAACTTCACCTTAATGAAGCTCTTGTCCCCAGAAAGTCGCTCTGCCAAGTCTGTAGGATGACCAGGGGCACTGTCTAATACCAGGAGGCACTTAAGGTCTAATTTCTTTTCAAATAGGTAATTTTTCACATAGGGGGCATATGCATGGAGTACCCAGTCATAGAAAAAGTCCCTAGTGACCCATGCCTTAGTGTTTGCCCTCCACAGCACACACAAATTAGCCTTGAGGATATTCTTTTGCCTGAACACTCTGGGAGTTTCTGAGTGATACACCAATAAAGGCTTCACTTTGCAATCACCACTAGCATTGGCACACATCAGAAGAGTAAGCCTGTCTTTCATAGGCTTATGTCCTGGAAGTACCTTTTCCTACTGAGTAATGTAGGTCCTGCTTGGCAGTTTCTTCCAAAACAGGCCTGTTTCGTTGCAATTAAACACTTGTTCAGGTTTAAATTCTTCACTGTCTATGTAATCCTTGAATTCCTTCACATATTTTTCAGCTGCTTTTTGGTCCAAACTGGCAGCCTCACCATGCCTAATCACACTATGTATGCCACTACGATTCTTATATCTTTCAAACCAACCTTTGTTGGCCTTAAATTCACTCACATCACCACTAGTTGCAGGCAATTTCTTTACCAAATCGTCATGCAACTGCCTAGCCTTTTCACAAATGATCGCTTGAGAGATGCTATCTCCTGCCATCTGTTTTTCATTTATCCACACTAATAACAGTCTCTCAACATTTTCTAACACTTGCGGTACAGGTTGCACCTTTCGCAAGAACAGCTTCTTTGATTGCTGTTTTCCTGGTCACCATGGTAGAGATGGTTGATTGGGGTTTTGTATACAACTTGGCCAGCTCCGACACACGCTCTCCACTTTCGTACTTTGCAATTCTCTCTTTCTTCATTTCAATAGTCATTAGCACCCTTGGTCTCGAAGGGTTGGCACTAGAAGCTTTCTTGGGGCCCATGGTGACTTATTTTGCAGTAACAAGCACCAAAAACACTGTGATAATAAGGAATGTACCGAATGTATCCCTAGATACGAGCACACTTGCTGGCTTGTAAACACTGGCACACACGGGGCAGTTCAGGCCACACGTGGACATGTCTCGGACGAATCGCATATACTACCAGGTTTTGTAACGGGAAGCGAGGCAAAATTTTTGCGATACAATGCATCGAATACCGGATTTATTGGATACCGATGGCATCGTGAGCCGGGAGTCCACTGTATGAGATGTTTACAAAGCGGCTGTGTAGGTAGTGTCAGAAGAATTACATTTTCTCTAATCAAACTGGGGGATAACTGACGAAAAATATTCTTTTCGTATGCCTTCACTCTATATATAGCAATTCACGACCCTTGTGGGTTTAGTGCTTTTTATTATGATAATAATAATAATAATAATAATAATAATAATAATAATTAATATCTTCATTCATTCTAAAAATGGTGTGTTGCTGTTTGTTTATTCTGTACTAACTTGTACAACTTGTACACAATGTAAGAGTATTTGTATTGTGAGGTAATTATTATTATAATAAAAAAATATTGAGGTAAATGTTTTACAAACTCTTACAAACGTATGTGAATGAACTAAAAGTACACACATATTAATACGCATTTATTTCGCCTGACCAAGTGATCGCCCACTACCTGTTCAGTTTGTGTTCTTGCATTGTCTCAACTCTGTATCTCGTTATCTCTCTCGTTTACTCTTTCGTTAACTAGTTGGCTCTCACTGACGATGGCATCTAAGCTTAGCTGTGATAGAAAGAGGAGTCGTAAGCCTTAAGTGCCAAGTTGGAGGATGATGGTGTGCCATTCTGATTTTATTCAATAAACACCCTGCCACTCACCTCTCACACATTAATATTAATATTAATATTTTAAGGTGAGTAATAAGTGTGCTCTGTGTGTATCTTACCTTTTATTGTGTTTTTAATGCCTATTTCTATTGCTAACTTAATATAAGTTAGTGTAAACTTGTTGTCTGGCATTTATTGCTTATTTTCTATGTGCTCTGATAATAATACTTGTGGATCTGTGTGGTAGCCAGGCAGAGGGACAACATTACATTTTCTCTGCTCAGCCATCAGAGAAAACGTGTATGAATCTGCGTTTGGCCCCAGCCACTCCCCCACTTCGCTTTTGTTTACAATTTTCGGCATGAATTATTCATTACTTCTCCCTTCGTTTATGATGGCATCTACAGGTAGTTGTTAGAAACGATTAAATTCAGTGAACAAGGTATGTCGATGCAAATAATATGGCTCTGGGCCACAGTGTAGGTGGTCGGTAGGTGTAGCCTAGGTGGGCTACACCTACCGGCTACCTACACTGACTTCCTACAAATAAATACTATTCACCTCTCTCCCTATATTAAGACTACACATATTTTAAGATAAATAGTGAGTGTACTGCATGTGTATTTTAACTCTCTGGGATGTTTTAAATATCATATATTAAGTATGAGATGGGAAGCCAGGGCTACCAACATCTGACTTCCTACAAATAAGTACTACTCACCTCTCTCCCTACATTCAGATTACAAATACTTTAAAATAAGTAATGAATGTACTGTGAATGTATTTAATTTGTGTGTTTTTAACCCTTTGACTGTTTTGGTCATATATATACGACTTACGAGCCGCCGTGTTTGACGTATATTTACTCATAAATTCTAGCGGCTTCAAATCAAGCAGGAGAAAGCTGGTAGGCCCACATGTGAGAGAATGGGTCTGTGTGGTCAGTGTGCACCATATA